TATATATATTGTTTATAAAACTTAGTTAGGTCTTTCTTTCTTTATCCTTATCTACATAAGAAGCTTAAGTTTTTCAATCATTGTTTTTTATATTTAATGAGGATTACAAGAGTTTGCTGTGGGTATGTTTGGAGTATTCTTGGATCCAGTTAGTAGTGTTTACAGTTCTATTGTTGTTTGCATTTGTAAAGAGGATTGTTGATTTGGGAAAATGTTTTTAAGATTTATTTTATCGTGTACTAAATGTAGTATTATTATTATTTGTTAGTTTTTATCTAAATTAATAATTTTTCATATATTGAAATCAGTGGTAAATTCACTATTTTGATGGATTCTATGCAAAAATCTACCAATGAAGAGCTTGGTTGTTTTGATCTTGAAATTTTGTCCCAAAGTACAAGTAAATCATATAATGCTTTCATTCGCCAACAATAAAATTGTAGACAGATAGGAGGAATCGAATTCAAACTGTAAGTATTGATCGTCGTAAAAGGATAAATGATCCTATGTTATATAAAAATAATAGTTCTGGTGTTAATTATGTGCACGAATGTATAATATATTCTCATTTCGAGGCTTCTATTTCCAATAAAGAAACAACTAATGTTTTTTTATTTTGAATTATATGGAAGTTTTAATCTGTTTAATATGCAAACTATTGCATATGTATTACCCACATGCACTTATTGTAAGCATTATGGAGCATGCAAATTGTATAGAGAAATTAAAGGTTTTTATTGCTTTGATGGAAAAGTGAAACTTTTTATGCCAAATTCACCAGATGAATTGTATGCATTATTTATGTCTAAAGAGCATGCGTGTATGAAATTTAAAAAGTTTACGTGTGGATAATAACCACTTTGCGTTCACTTCATTTGGTGTAAAATACGATAATGAACTCTTTAAAGCAAATAAAGGCATTTACACATTTAGAGTTCAGGAACAAGTATACAATTATGTAAATCAACTTATGCCAGATAATAATACGCCTTGTTATATACAATTATATTTTTATGATATAGATGATGAACTTCAAAATCGTATGAAAAGTTCAGAAAATATGGTAGAATCTACTTTGCTTCTTCTAATTAAAATCTTG